CTGGCCGCCGGCGCCCGCCGCCGCCCGCCTTCCCCGCCGCCCAAGCGCCCAGGCTGCGGCCGCCCGAGGTAAGTGCCTGCCCCGCTCCTGGGGGAGGGGCGGTAGTCTGTCCCGCCGGGCTTGTGTGTCCTGCCCGGCTGTCTGCCTTGGCTTGAGATCCAGAGTGTGTTGTAAGGCGCCTGCAGTGTAAACTTCTGAAGTTGTGCAGAGCCGCTGTGGCCAGGAAGACACGTTGCCATGATGCCCCCGTGGGCTTGGGGAGACTGGTGGTGTAGTCCTCCTTCGGGCTCTCTAGAGGAGAGGGACTTGACAGCTTTATATCCTGTCTGCCCTCTTAGTAAGGCGCCTGCAACACCAGAGTTTACTTCCTCACCTCTGCGCAGGGTTCTGCGGGGGCCTGTACGTTATTCCTTCAGGGACCTACCTGGATCTTCAAGACTGGACTTTCCTGACTTCCCCCAAACAAGAAAAGCGCTGGATTGCACAAGTGATGGCTTGGCGTGAGGAATCACTATTACACTGCTATTGCACCCTGACTGGCAGCTGTTAGCTGTCTGGACATGCATGGCAGCAAATCACAGGTTTCAGGGAAGGGATGGAGTAAGCAAGTGAAATACCATGAGACCCAAGACTAATTTCACATTGATAGTGCTCTTGACTAGCAGATCTTAAAACTAAAGAAGGATAATTATTATCCCCATTTGGGTACCAAACCCAGGAGGTAATATAGGACCCAGTTGGCTACCTACAATGCTTTATTTTTATGTTAGCAGCAACTCAAATTTCTGAATTTGCTTAGTGTGTTATGCAGTGTGATTTTATTTGTTTGTTTGTTTTAATATGGAGGTTGCTGTAAGAGAGGGCAGAAAAGCTTTTATAATTTACTTACCCCTATCATTTGTGTTTTTTTTGTTTTTGTTGTCAGCCAAGCTAGCAATGAACCACAGACTTGTGGGGACAGCTTATTTTTTCACCCTAGGAATTGTTAAAGGGAGAGTGGTAGGATGGAGCCAGTATTTGTGACTAGAAGAATTGCTGAGCTAGCAGGACAATATTGCCAACAGAGAAGGCCTGGTCAGCAGAATGAAGGATGCTTGTGACACTAGTAGGTAGAATTGACACAAGAAGATACTTTGCAGAGCTCTTCAAAATAATGGGTACATGCCATACTGTATCTGATTCTGGATCTCTAAACCTATCAGTCTCTAATGTGCCACCCCAACCTGCCTTCTGCTTGTAGCTGATTCTAAACTAGCTGCGCTGCCTAGCTTTTTGAAGTAAACAAGAAATGTTGTGTGTGGAGTGAATAGAGAGCAGTCAGCTAGCGTGCATGGAAGAATGTTTCAAATTCTGTGGCTAATGAAACCTGGCTATTTGGAAGGGAATACTTACTAAACTGAATTTGGGATTAAGAATATAAACATCCTTAATTAGTAAAAAAAAATAAATAAAGTGTTGAAATGTGAAAACCCACATAATGCTTAGAGAAAAAGCTGGAGAAGGTTTTAACAATCCCAACTGGATTAAAGTTCTGTGGGCCAGATCTTCAGGTGACTTTAACTTGAATATGTCAAGTGAAGTAAATGCAGTTATGCTTATGAACTCCAGTTAAAGATCTGAGCTGATTTTATTCATTTAAGAATGCCCTGTATCTCTGGTGAAAAACCCCTCCAGATGAACTAGTAGTTGAAGGCACCCTGTGACGCTGTAAGGAGAAACAAATCACTGGGGTTGTGAAAGAAAACACAAAATGGGAACTGCTTTAATTCCAAAAGACTGAGACTGAATAAAGCATTAAAGCTAATATTTTCATTTTGAACAACAGAATACATTAATTTGGTGGGTAGGAACGACAGCAGAAATATCTAGAGACAAATACAATTGCTTTAATTTTTTATGCCATATGCACATTCTTTTCCTGGTGTATTACCTCTCATTTTCCTCTGAAATTTTCCTCTTTTGTTCCTGTCTGCTGGTTTCATGTGAATAGCTTCTCTACCATTACACTTGCTTTATCCTGTCTCTCTCTAATGGCTTTTATTTTGTGGTATTATTTCTCAAAACAATTTTACATAAAACATTAAAAAACCCAAATCTCAGAAGACAGCAATAATAGCACAGTTATTCTAGTCCAGGCATAGCTTTTGTAGTAAAATCTAATACCCTCTAAGATTCAGTTGCAAGATTCCCTTTCATGAGCCAAATGAAGTACATTACAATTAGCAAAACTTAAGCTGTCTACATGAAAAGAATGCAAAAGAAAATGTTAAATAAATTAGTAAGGGTTTTCATCCTTTCTGCTTAGATGTCCTGCTCCCAGTTCTCCAGATTTCTAAGGCTGTGTACAAATGTTAATTTCTAGCACTGGGAAATTTCCATCTAGGAATGATTCTGGGAGAAGAAGCAGTACAGATGTTCAGTTTTAATCTGCCGCCTTTCCCCTGTTCCTTGCACCTTCCAGGAGATGGGAGTAATCCCTGGTCTGGGGAAAGCATGGGCTGCTCCAGTCCTCCTGTTCTAGGAGGGACAGTGCCCCCTTCTGTGTCTCGCACTGGGCAGGGATTCTGGTATGTGAGCAGCTGGGAGCGTATGAGGAGTTGGCTCCCTTCCCTTCCTAGTCTCCCAAAGGAGTGGGAGCAGTTGCTCCCTATGCTTTTTCCACAATGGGGTGACCCTGGCTGCAGAAGACACAGGAGCCTTTCCCCATGTTTCTACTCCTGGGCCCCTGGAGGTATTAAGCTGCAGGCAAGTCCCTGGTCCTGGGAAGGTGCAAGGTTCTTCTGAGAGAAATTCTCTTGGGAATGACTTCTGCCTGGTTGGAGTTGGGTTATTTTTCTTGCAGAATAGCTGTTTTTGTCTTTGGAGAAAAAGTTAGAATATCTGTGCACTTGTGGTTTCTACCAGGAGAATGGCAATTCTTCTAATAGAAACAGAACATCTGTATGTTGCCTAAGTCTTTCAGCTGCCATTTTGTATTGTTTGTTTGTGGCTTTTTTGACATGAAGTAGCTTTTACCTCAACTCTTTTTTTTTTTTTGTGGGCATGTTTCTGTTGAATAGGATTTTACAGAAGTATAGGAAACTTTCCTGGCAGTGCAGAGATGGGAGACACATCAGCACCTACATGGGCCATGTAAATGTAGGCAATATACATAACTATGATTGCCAGTTTCTCTCTTCTGTCTTCCTTTAATGATTCTTAGGATTAGGTCACTTTTTCAGTCATGCTTTTCATAATGTTTACATCCTTTCTATTTTTGTTAATTTGTACCAGCTTTCTTATGTGTCATGGAGCCTTCCTATACTGTTGTTCTTTTCCTTCCAGGAATTAGTCATGTGGTGTTATGTAGCTTTGAAGCTGAAGTTTTCCAAAAATTTGACACACCTTTCCTTCCTTAGACACAGGAGAGAATGCTCAATATATAAGAATTTGCCATATATATATATAAAAATTCCAAGGAGAGAAAGTTGTGAGCGGGAGCAGAGAGCCTTCTTTGGAAAAAGAATGTGTTTGGCAAGCTATTCCATTTTGGGCTCTGCATATGAGGAAACACTAAATATTTGATAGCAAATATTTACTATAATAGGAGTCAGGCTGAGCGCTTAGAGTCAGTGGAAACATTTCTAACTAACTTCAGAAGGAGTCCCTCTCTTACCCCCATGCTTGAGTAGGACTCCCAGAGATAAATTCTTGTTTGGTTTTTTTTGTTTGAGGCCTTGATTCTGGAAATATTTATGGCATGAGCAGTACCTTTGTTTGTAATGGACCTTTTAATTTCAGTAAAATTCCTTGTGTGAGTAGGTTCACCCAAAGAGGACTGCAGGTTCAGCCCCTTGAAAAGGCAACATTTATGCTTTTTCTTTTTTGCTTTATTTGAATTCTTTCCTACAGACTCCATCCTTACTGTAAAATAATTGTTCTGTGCTCTGAGCCTCTCTGGGAGTGGAAAGGTGTGCATGGTGTGGGCTTGTTGTTTGCTTAGACTGTGCAGTGAATGCATTGAAATCTTTTGAGAATTACAAGGGAAAAATACATTCTATTTAAACACTATGGACTTGAAAAGAAGTGTGTCATCTAGTTGATATCAAAAGTTACATACACAAAATTGTATGTAAATTAGACCTCATGGTGTGGTTTGCTCTTTCACCGAAACCTGAATGTTTATTATCCTGTTGTTTGGCAAACCCTCCACAACAGGGCACTGCATCAGAGTGATGTTCCTGTATATGATATATTAAGTGATCAGATCTGTCTAGACAAGAGGTTGGTTTAATTCTGTGGGGTAATGATATGGGTTTTGTTGGTTCTGCCCCCCATAATGTTGGAAAATATGTAGATCATTTGCAACTGTAGGAAATAAATAAAACAATGTTAAATGTTTAGTTATGGAAAGATTTTTTATAAATAAACAGTTTCTATTAATGTTTATGTACTGAGACAACTGCTACCATGTGTATGTGATGCAAATCATTTATATTAAAAAAAAAATAAAACAATTTAGGAGTATTTCTAACACTTAGCATGAGTTGGCTTTAGGCAAGATAATTTGTAGAGAATGAAATGCACTTGAGCAACAAACCAGGGCAATCTACTCTAACCAGTACAGTCTAATATTAATAAAAATAATGCTTTAAACATGCAAGGGTTGCTCCCTTACTTAACACAAACAAACATATCCTCTCACAGAGGTTAGAGATGGGGGAGCAGAGGTGGGGAAACATCCATCTCTGCAAATTCTGTATGGTTCCCCACAGCACATAATTAACTTGTGTAATTGCAGAAGAGAGAATTTTGATTGACTTAAAAAAAACCCCAACCCAAACCCTTGGGGAGGGTAAAAAAATACAAAGAGGAAAATTGTGTTTTCACAGGTTTCTGTTGCAGTGTAGCTGTGTACATGATTCTTCTTTCAAAAGAATTAGCAGGACACACTGTTTTTCTTTATTTCCTAACCCATGCTTTGACTCTGAATCATGCAGTAACTCTTAATGAGTAGATTGGATAGCTGTACTTCTCTTAAGTTGGGGCTTTCTAAATGGCGGGCTGCAGCCATGAGATTCTTTTTCTT